TTCGCGTCCGAGTGCGTCGGTAAACTCCTTCAAACTCGTTAGCGATTTCTCTGACGGTCGGCGAACGACTTGTCTCAGAGTCGTCGGAACTAGGACCTGAGGCTTTCCCTCTGTTGATCACATTGATAGTGACCTCGGGATATTCGGTCTCTGGTGACTTCTTCCTGTGAGAACGTCGTCGTTGGTTGGGCAAAGCAACGTTCGTAAATTGGTCGAACACCAACAGTTTGGCCGCATATGAGCAGCATTGACATCCCGAGAGGACCGTAGGAATCAGCCGTTCACATTGGAATGAACGAATGATTTGTTGCATCGGTCTTTCTCTCGATATGAACTCACTCAAATCTATTGTGAAGATTCGAGGAGAATTGCTCACTGATCGTGAGGTTTGAATTGGAACCCCCAGTCCATGATTGGACAGGACTGGCTCTTGGGGAACATGGATCTGGTTGAGATGCCTTGAATCCATGGACTTTTGACATCCGCCCCTCAATCATTCCATGATTGGACAGGACTGGCTCTTGGGGAACATGGATCTGGTTGAGATGCCTTGAATCCATGGACTTTTGACATCCGCCCCTCAATCTAGTCGCGCTACGCAGAGTATTCGGGGGTCTCGCTGCCCGGTCAGCGAGCCGGGGGTCCAGGGGGCGGCGCGCCCCTGGCCAGGGGGTCCGGGGGGGATGGAATACCCCCCGGCGGGGTTCGGGGCAGCGCCCCGAAGCTCCACGATATATACCAGGCTCTGTATTGGATTTCGTCAACTGAACGCATGCCTGAGCTTCAGGTTTTGCTGATGAAACGCATATTTGAGAGTTGCGTTTATTTTGTGGAACGCACCCCTGAGGGTTGCGTTCATTTTGTGGAATGCGCCCCTGAGGGTTGCGTTCAGTCTTCTTCACACAGAGCCTATGTTTGGGCTCATAGACGCGAGACTTGCATTCTGAAACAGAAACGCAGGGCATAGGGTCGCGTTTAGGCTCACAAACACGAAGCTCATGTTGACTTGAGGATCGGCATTCTCGGAGATGTGCTTGTCGTAAGGATCTCCTCCTCCGTCGAACGACGTTCTTCTTAGCCTGCTTCAAGGCCTTGGCAGCAACACCTTCAACTCGGTGGACGAGTTTGGCCGAAGCTGAGCCCACTCCATCGGGGGAGGGGCTGTCCGAGCAATCTTCCTTAGGCGGTTCGGCTGTAATTGGAGCAGTTGGAGCTTTAGTCTCTTTGAAGACTTTATGGATCTTGCGAGGAGATAGCCTCCTCAAACTTGGCTTGATCAAACTCTACCACGAGAGTTTCGACGGTTGTTCCAGTGAGATGAACGTCGGATTGCGCCACCACTTCTTCGTCAGAGAAGCTTTTCCCCAGCGGAGTCGCCATCTTTTGTTTGTGGGAAAATTTATAGTAAAAAGACAATGAAGGAAAATTTGATTTGTATTCCTTTAATCTCAGTTACAATTGGATTTCCTGATTACAAAAGAGAGGAGAATGATCTGGATTCTCCCCTTTGTTTAATTCTGGGTTCTTCACGGTGGCGATGAGATGCCTCCCTCGAATGCTCGCGTCGAGTTTGCTTCTCGTTGACGATCCGATGTCTTGTTTCACTGGAATGTGGTCTTCTCCTCACGATTTGATGTTGTGGAGAACTTGCGTGGCAAGTTTTAGAACTCTGAATGAGTTTGTTTGATCTTAACCGTAATTGGTTAGACAAGCCAAAGATCTCTTCTCTTCTGTTAAGGAGAAGGATCCAAAAGCCAGCCCGAGATCTCTTCTTTTTTGCCCAAAAAAGAAGGATCTCAACTAAGTTGATTTCTTAGTTATTTATAGGGGATTAAGGGGTGTAACCGCCCCCTTAATTCGCTCCTAAGTGGGGCTAATGGGATGTAACCACCCCTTAAATCACTCCTGAGTGGAGTTGTGATCCCCTCAGATCGTGAGAAATGGTTTTGAAACTGTTCAGCTCGTGTTTGAACGAGTCAAACGCAAAATCCGCGTTCTGGCGTGAATTCTGCATTCAAACGCAGTGTCTGGAAGCTCGGACGCAGCGATTGGAAGCTCGGACGCAGCGCAGCTGCGTTTGGCAGCGCTTGGAGCTGTGTTGAGCAGCAGATGGCAGCTGCGTTGAGCAGCAGATGGCAGCTGCGTTTGGCAGCGCTTGGAGCTGTGTTGAGCAGCAGATGGCAGCTGCGTTTGGCAGCGCTTGGAGCTGCGTTGAGCTGCGTTTGGTAGCTTGGAAGCTGCGTTTGGCAGCAGATGGCAGCTGCGTTTGAGCTGCGTTTGCAGCTTTTGGAGCTATGTTTGCGCTGCATTCATGGCTATGAACACGGTGCGTCTTGATGCTGGTGTGCGGGGAGGGCTTCCGCAGTTTGATTTGAAGAGACCGTCGATTTGTAGTCTCTTTCTGTTGAAGCATTGCAAAGATCGTCATTTTGTAATCTTTGCTTTAGCTCTCTGATATGTGAGAGTCGTCAGATTGTAACTCCCGATGTTGATTATGAAGGCTGTTTGATTAGAGCTTCCATCAGTTGTCGTGAAGGTCGTCAGATTGTAACCTTTAGCGATCTACGTAAAAGTCTTCAAATTGTAGCCATCTGGAAGTCGTCAGATTGTAACTTCCATCATCGGTGTTTTGATGGGGATCAGCTATCTATTGTGATTTTTAGACAGCCTACAGTAGTATTATTATAATCAAACCTAAAACCAATAACTCCAGATACATACCAGGATAAGATGCGGGCATCTTTACCTCTCTCTGCAGCATCGTTATGGGATTATATTACAGATGTCTACAAATGCGTCCACTGAGATGGGCATGATTGCCTGTTACTTACCTGGACGTATATTCCCACTCTTGTCAGCTTGCTCGCTTCCGTGGGTCTCAGGGAACAAGCGGGTATGGTGCCTCTTCTGCACAACCACAAAGGTGACACACGGCTGATTGTCTTTATGCAGAGATTGACAAGCCTGGTTATTACATGCACAAACAGATGTAAATATAATCTGTTAATGGAAAAACTTAGTGGAAATTGTCAGCCGTTCACCATGCATCTTAGTTTCAGGTGAAATATACACAAACAGTAAACTAAATGAAAACATTTACCTTTCTTATTGCATCCACTTCATGCAGAAGAACTTGGCTAAACTGTGTTTCACTGACGCCGTCCCTGCACATGTAAATAGGATAATTTTAGGGGTTCAGTGCAGTAGACATGACATGCTAAAAGAATGCATTTGTGACATGAATCAAACCTGTAAAATATAATTCTTTGGGGTAGCTCTCTTGTAGCACTATTGAAAGAAAGAAGCAGGTCTCTGCAGGAAAGCAGAGGAAGGAAAACGTAAAGCTTGAAGATCTAAACATGCACTTTCAACAACATTCCAATATCAAGCAATCTAATGATGTACCCTAAGAAAAACAAAAAGAAAAAAAGGAAAAGAAAAGAAAACAAGAAAATTTTACCTAATCATGCCACCTGGGCCACCTTGTGTGGTTGTATAAAGATCTTCTATCATCTCCTGCCTATGTGGTTGGGATGAAATAAGGGCTTTGTACTTCGTCACTTCAGGCCAATCCATTGATGCAACAACCTAACATATCATGAAAAAAATGCGCAAGTTAAAAGGACAGACGTGTGAATATGTGATCTAACTCTCACCAAATCACAACATCCAAAAGAACAATAGCAATGATGTTACGAAGGAACCAGAGTTCTATGAAAAATCCGCTACCTAAAGATCATTATAAAACTTGAAATTGATCTTAACATTTGAGAAATCAAGAGTATGTATGCAAAAGATAAACGCAAACACCTTGATAACACAAAATATGAATACGTATATGTTTAGAAAAACACAATTCAAAGAGTAAGTATAATATAACATGATTGACAAGAGACTGACGGCAGCTATGGATGGAGATGCGCCATCTCCTGCCGTGGGATGTGTGACATCAGCCCCAAAAATGATGGTTGGTACATCGGTTACTATAGGAATTTTCTTACTAAAAGCATCTGACAGAACAGTGTTACGACCTCCGACCTGTTCAAGAATCATGCAGGCAAATTAAAAAGGCCATCCATGATCAAACTGGAAGCTTAAGAACACAGAAACACAGACCTTCACATTAATTTTCAAAGCCACATTTTCCAGATATTGTGGCTTGCTCGCCTGAACATGCTTAGATAAGCAACATTGTGATATGAGCCCGAGTTCAGTTTCACAAACACGCTTGATTGTACCTATGAAAAACATATAGAGCCAATGAATATAGAGTTGCCACAATAAAAATTAACCTTAACGTAGAAAAGAATTAGTTATACATACCATAAGACCCCCTTTCATCTGGAAGAATGATAAGTAGCAACTGCAGGGTTCCTCCTCCCAAAGCAGTAGTTGCTTGAGCATGCACAGTTCTTAGAGCTGCCTCCACGTTATTAGCATGTTCATGGAGGTCATTGATTACTGAGTTAGGTGCAATAGACTAGAAATACATAGCAAAATGAGCAAAACACAAACATGAATAGTAATCGAGTCAATAAAGAAACAATAGACTAGAAATACATAGCAAAATGAGCAAAACACAAACATGAATAGTAATCGAGTCAATAAAGAAAGAAAGAATCGTGCAGTACCATTCCAAGTTGCAAAACACAAACATGAATAGTAATCGAGTCAATAAAGAAAGAAAGAATCGTGCAGTACCATTCCAAGTTTAGTACAGGTATTAAACAGACTACTGTAGAAGTGTTTTACTGCAGCATCACGATAAAGATTGTGGGAAAAATTAACGCATGCCCAACTATCAATTGTTCCACCATTAAACATTTTCTGAAAAAAGAAATAATGATAAAGTCATTCTTCAACAAAGAATTCGTTGAACAAAGATACTGCTCAGGGGGAAATAAAGTTACTACTGCATTGTACATAGAAAAGACAACAAAAACAAAAGAATTTAAATGCTAGAAATTAATATTTTCATGACAAAAGAATTTAAATGCTAGAAATTAATATTTTCATGATAGGAGAATGGATTTTAATATACAATATTAACCATCTAGTAACCGAAAAACGACTTTCACCTGGTACTTAAAAAAGCAAAGAAGTCTTCTACATTTATTAACCATCCCCAAAACAAAAGAACAAATATCACTGGTTCTAAATAATGAGGAGACTTTTACCTTATCGATCATGTTCCACGCGCCCTTTCTTGGATTGCATGTCATATGTCTTCCACTTCCAGAACCATGATACAGGAGCTGAACATGCAATAAAAAAGAAAAACTGACAATCTAATATTTTTACCTTGCTATCCAACAAAGCAATTGCAGATCAAATAACTACCATTGGTGGACGAAGGACTCTCGCTTCAACAGAGGTCAGCTGCTTGGCCACCTTGATGCCAAACTCCTGTGCATATTCATCATCTTCATAGTTGTTCTCCATGACTATCTGCAGTAGCAATCAGGCCATTCACAATCATCAAAGTGTACAAAACTGACTAAACTATTCATAAATAAGATAAATTTCAATATTTTGATGAAGAACAAAGAATAAAAACATCCCAGCACCCCACTACAATCAAAGTATCTGACCTTCCTTATACTCTCCTCTCTTTCGCGTGGGCGTTGACAAGTTGCTCTCAGTATTTCAGTAACCTGCTTCTCCTTCAATTTCTTCAAAAATCTCTGACCTTCCACAATTTTACAGACCTAGAACAATAAATAGATAAGCAGAAAGTTTAATCAGAACTCAACACAACATAGCATTGACAGCCATCAGTAAGAGTAAATAACATTGTATTGCTAGATAACAGTTAAAGTAAACCACCATTGGCAGGTGCGTTGGGTTACTGCCACTGCCAGACTGTAAGCAAGGCCATGTAAGATAGCCAAGTTTGCAGTGATACTTCTCCTGAAAATACTGCACCACTCGCTTTTTGTTTCCCTTGTCATCCACAGGAAACCTAACAATATCGACGAGCAGACTATCAAAAAACATACAAGAGCAAACGAGCAACTAACTTGAGTAGACAAGTCATAAACATTATGTAGAAAACATGAGGACAGAAAGTATACAACTTAAGATAAATATATATCTAGAGAGAAGACAGGAAGTGTTACATCAATTGGGCTAAAGGCTCATTTGATAGACCATTAATCTTGTAGCGTCTGCTCGTATCCCTATGAGTGACTCCAACGCGAATCCCTCGTAGGGCTTTTGTCAACTGTGGATTTGACATAAAAAATATGAATTAAAAATATATATATCCTACATAAACAAGTTTTAACCTAGAGATATTAAGAGAGAAGCATTAAATTCCAATGACAATGAAAATAAAAGGTATTAATCATCAAGGTGAGTAGCAGATACAAAACATACAGCAATACGCTGTTTCTCTGTCAAGGTACGCGGTGTATCTCGGATGTTTAGGTACTCCTTAGCAAAGGCTATAACTGGAATAGACTGGTAAAAATAAGTGGCAGAGGTATCTGCAGATTAAAGCATGTCACAAACTACATTAATTGCAATCAGAAAAGGAGGGAAGTAGGACCAATTTGAGCTAAAGTCCCACGTGTTACCTATGTTTAAGGAGAGCCCCATCTGTGTAGGACGAAGCGACTGATAGTATCCTCTCCAACATTCCAATCCACCGCCAATATCTTTTGTTGCCCCTAAATTCTTTGAGAAAAAAGATCTCGCTACTGTGACATACCTGAGGAAAAGAACAAGATAAACGGTGGTTAAACATAAGCATAGCAAACTATCAACCAGATGTGACATACCTGAGGAAAAGAACAAGATAAACGGTGGTTAAACATAAGCATAGCAAACTATCAACCAGAGCTATGATTTATGGTCACAACATCATTACTAACGGTGGTTAAACATAAGCATAGCAAACTATCAACCAGAGCTATGATTTATGGTCACAACATCATTACCTTTGTGAGGGTGACTCCCTAAGAACAATGTCCAGCACTTGTATTGTTTCTTGTGGGGCATCAAACTGCCTCCCATGAAGGAACTGCTGCAGATGATGCAGATCAGCATGTCCGGCATACTTGATGGTAACACCAAATTCCTTGTCGACACTGAGCATCAAACGTCAAGCATAAGCATAACAAGAAAAACTGCAGTGCTAACAGCACTAAGCAACACGACATAGGTGTTCGCTCACCGCTCCTTTTCAGCTAATTTAATCTTAAACTGCTGAGATGTAAAGGGCAAAGCTCCAGCAGTGTAAAGAGATTTCCTGCCATCATAGGCTGGTGTTAGGCGTTCTAGATGGGAGTCCTTGTAAATTTTTACAAGCTCACTAATAATCTTCCTACAAACAGCCCTTGAATTCACTTCTGGTGTTATGGCAACCTGCTCCAGCCAAAGAAATAAGATATATAGCAATAAAATGAGCTAATTAAATACACCTTATCTGCAGTTTATAATGCAGTGTCCCAACAAAAGAACCGAGAGCATAGGACTGCAAATGACGCTGAGAAACAAATACGTGACTAAAGTTTAAAAATGGAATACATATTATACTCTATTCTTTCAAACACCTTTAACACATAAAAAATTCTGAAACTAATTAGCAAAACAAGACATATTATAGCTCCATTCCGTCATAAGAACTATCACAATTATGAAAATAAATTGGCGAACCATTTAAGCTGTGTCAGGAGAGCCCAACTTTTTTATTTCTTTTTAACCATGTGGACGAAGCGTAGAAAAGGTTGTGCATGCTCTCATAAACAACACCAGCATCTCCAAAATTCTGAATCTATTTGCTAACAATAGAAAGATTTTAGGTCAATTTTTTCATCTGTACCATCACAGTAATCAAAATAAACTTGTTATAAACATTTAAATATGTAAAGAAACTGGTTTCTTTTAAAGGTGCAAAGGGAGGAAGGGGAAAATGTGTTAAGAAGCACAATAAATTAACTTCAAGTTCCTAGAGCAATCTTAGAAAACTCGATATCTTCTTTAGACTTTTTACCTTACTTACACATCCTCTTACACAACTTAAGCTTGCAGAACTAACTAGACTCCAAAATGGTTTTAAGTCCCATAAATCATAATTATATACAGTTGGCACAGAATGATAACATGTATCACATACTACTGAATAGAAACATTTGATCTTAACTATAATAAACATTAATTCCACTTATTGGCTTTTCATGTTATACTGGTTTAAAATCCAATCGTCGTCCCTTTAAAAGTAGTAATCATATTTTCAAAAAGCTGCAATTTGAATGAGTTCAATGACAAGACATAAAGTTTCAAGATATACAAATTGAATGAATTCAATGACAAGGCATAAAGTTTCAAGATATATATGAAAAAAAGACATTGCTGGGAAAATACCAAATAGTAGGTGCATGATAACTGGATCTACAACTTCACCAAAAAGAATCCCTAAAATTTAACACAATAAAGAACAAATCTAAGCAAACAACGTAACTATGAGATTTCACAATAAAATATCAAACAATCCACAGCAAATTTGCAACGCTTAGAAGAATAAAGAAGATAAGGTTAACAACATTAAGTATATTAAACTAAGAACCCAAAAGTAATCTACATAAAAATAGAACAAATCCTACAGACAGAATCTACTGTAAGGTTCATTTATCTTTAAACTAACCTAAGTAAGATACATGCACCAATTAGTGGGAGATGCCAAAACAAAATACCACATAACCCACAACGACTTAACACTCATAAGAATAGAAAAGATAAAGATTAACAACAGGAGCACTGGATTAAACTAGATCTAGAACTTAAACCCAGAATTACAACTTAACCACAAAACCCAATAAAATCTGCACAAATGAACTAGCGGTTAAAAGAAGATAAATGCGATGAGACTAAGGACACCAGCACACATTAAATCAGATCCAGAACAAAGCCCAGAAGGCCCTACAAGATCTACACGAGAACTGAACAAAAAATAACCATCCAAAAATGGATGTACAACCTAGCACCCAAATATCAGAGCTAAAACAGAGAGAAAAGTGATGCCCTGTGCTATCAACTTGAAGAAGAAGGAAGTAAAGGGTTAGAAGAAAAGCTCACATCATAGTGATGAAGATCGCGGTCCGCGACCTGGACGAGGAAGTGATTTGCCCGAACGATGCACCTCTTCCCCTCCATCCGACTGATCCGGATCCTCAACGCCTTCGACTCGTCTTGTGAGAGTCGCTAGTTGAAGGATCCATCCCGGCAGGAGTCGCAAGAGCCACGACAGGTGCGATCTGGAGGCCGTGAGAGAATCGAAAGCTCGGAGGCGGACCAAAGCGCTCGCCTCCGGAACCTTCCCACGCATCCGCCGCGCCGCCTCGGACCCCCGCCGCCCGCCGCCGCGGTTGAAGGTCACGCTCCACGGCCGCCAACCTCCTCCTCGTCCGCGGGCGGCCTCATCAGCGCGCTCTTTCCTCGGGAAGCCATTAGAGTTTCAAAAGATTTTTGTGCGATAGAATGGGGAGGCAGAGAGAGGATCCCCCCCCCCCCCCCCCCACCCCCCCCTTTTTCTTTTATATACAAAAGAGAGCGAAAGAGAATGGGGGGCAAATAAGTTGGCAGCTAGAAGCCGAGTGGTCAAGACCTTAAATAGAGAGGACGCCATGAGACGGATCGGCCACGGGAATCCTACAGTGACCGAGAACTGTGACCCGCGGGGCCTACCGGTCAGAAATGAGAAATCGCACTCGGGTTCCCACTCGCTGAGTGAGCGAGAGTCGTAACGGCCGGATGCCTTCGCGACGACCCCACTCTTGTTCGTGCACTGGGGGAAATTTGGCGCGTGAAGGAGAATGACAACAATGCCCTCGACTTTTCCGCGTAAGTACGATCGTACCATCGTTCTTAGCTTGGAGGATAAGGAAACTCCGAACGGGAATATGGAGGGAGAGGGAGGGGTTTGGGCGGTGAGCTTACTGCTTTTTACCGTTTCTGTGCAATTCCAAAGCTGATGCGGAAAGGCTCGTGTCCCGTCAAACCGTCAAATGCAGAAACGGGATTGGAGATGGGTCAGTTGGTTATCACATGTGACGTGTATCATCATTATTAGAAGAGCTAAAATATCAAATTGGTATATTTACACGAATGCGTTTGCAAGTTTGGTATTTTAAAAAACTCCTGCTACAACAAGCCATTAATTCTCATCTTTTTTTGTCAATAAGATCATATTTCTTAAAATTCCGGCAGGAAAATTTATCCTACCCCTTTAACTCCCAAAATTATTAAATCTATACCCTCTCCTCCTCCCAAAAATATGCATCCCCTCCCTCTCCCTCTCCTCCTCCTCCTCCTCCTCCGGCGACAACAGGGCTCAATGAGCACTCCTTCAATGATCAGCCCCTTTGTAGGGTAAAAATCCTGATTTTCCCGAAATGGGGGATTTTGTTTGTATTTATAAGAAAGCTTATTACAAACTAAATCAATCTGAATTACAACAGAAGCAGAGGGAAGGCCCTCTTTGTTTTTTGGGGACTTTAGGTGGCTATAGGATGCTTCGCTCGATGCTCGTGTCGAGTCTGCTTCCCTTGGACCGTTTGATCGAGGTTGCTGGAGAGCTTCAGTACGCAGTAGAAGCTCAGAGCAATGGAGTTCGAGTCTGCTTAGTTCGCCGGCGGTCGGAGCTCGGAACTAGGCAGGGGCGCTGCACTGCAAAGATTATGCAGAGAGCTTATGGCTCAACCAGCTGATCTAACTATGAACGGATTGCTCAATAGCTAGAACAGTTGAGTCCCCTCTTCTTGACTTGGAAGAAGAGTTGAACTGAGCTTGAACCTTTGTGGCTCGAAGAAGTTCTGAATTGTTTCAGTTTCTTGAACTTCTGAACTTCCGAACCCCTTCTTCGTGGCTGGAAGAAGTCCTTAAGTAACGGAGAGACAGCGTGGTTGTTCCTGGAATTACGGGATGCGACCATATCTTCTTCGGAGACGTCTAGCTGCTCCTCGATACCATGAATGGTCATTCGAGGGATTGTGCTTTATGTCGTATCACCTAAAAATGGGAAGGCTCATCCTTGTATATGAGGCAATGGTCGTCCAGCATTTCGAGGGGACTTGACCGGTATTAATGAACCGCATTTATGAGTCCACGGATCGATGAGGCGTTCTGTCCGATCATTCGTACTGTACGCGACCGTCCGGCGTGCTTTGAGTACGGTGTCTTCTACTTTCCGGTTAGGAAAGGTGGCGAAGTAGGTGTACAGTACTCGAGTGGGTCTAGCCAACTTGCCGAGCGCCGGCGGATCCAGCTCCTGACTTGGACAGCTGAGGTGAGTCGCATTTATGAATGCTCAGGTTGACTCGACACCTGTCCAGTCCTTCGTGCTGTGCGTACTGTGGGCGGCCGTTTGACGGTCTTGGGTCCGTGCTAGAGAATTGAGCGTGTGAGCTCCCCTTACAGGCGGATTTCTTGCAAGTCCACGGAGGTATTTTTTACCGTCTACAAGACCCCCTTCAAAGTTTTCAGACCTAAACTGGCTTGCGTGTGGTCTGGAATACTTTGAATGAAGAAATCGTTGGCGAAGCAAGTGCTTTCGACTTCTTTTAGGATTTTTAGCAAACCCTCAGCTATCAACGGGTTTGATGTGCATTTACCGATTACCGTTTGCATCGGGCTAGCCATACTATTCCCCTCAGTATGATGAGTTGCTGAACAGTTTCTCTTAGGCTTAATGCTAAGATTTTTGTTCTAACCCTTAGCCGTTTGAGGCGTGGGTTTTAACCGTTTAAGCGAGGTCATTCTATTGGCTTTGTTTGTAATTTTACCTTTAGTGGCGAGTGAATCGTCCAGGCGGAATTCATCTCTGGGTTTCGTGCGACTCGTGGGGTTATGCCCAGTATTCGCAGGCGAAACCCTTCCTTTTCGAGGCGGGCCCAGATCTGACGGGGGATGAGCCACGTGTCTGCCGATAGGGCTTTGTGCTTCCCAGCTAAGGCGCCGCGGTCTCATCGGGTCGTGGCGATCGTGACTTGACAACACGATTTCTGGGTGTTTCGCCCCACAACGCATCGTGGCCGTGGTTTTCGAACTCAACCGTCGGATGTAACCGCCAACCTCGGTTCCTTCGATATACCGAGGGAGATCTGGGCCGTCGAATTCGATCGTGGCCACGTTCCCTGTCCGTTAGGGTTTTCGCCTTTCGAGGGCAGTTAAGGCCATGTGGACAATTCCGCCCTTCTAAAACCAGCCGTTTTCCTCTTTTGGGCGTTACCGTGCTCTCAAATCTCGAAAGGAACCTCTACGGAAAGAATTCCCGCTTCACCCTACAATGGCTCCGAAACCTAAGGGACGCAAAGTGAGGGGAGCAGGCCCCGGACGTTACTCCGACCGTCTCTCTGCCGGCATGCCTGCCGGTGCTCTGGAGTCGCGCCCAGGTACGTTGTTGGACGATCTCTTGTAGGTCTTAGGCGTCGGATTTAGGGAGATGAGCGTTGCTCATCATGCTTGGTAATTTCCCCAATTTGGGGCAAAGTTTGCCCTATTTGCCCTTAGAGGACGATTATTGTCTCCGTGGGCGAGTCTTCTAGCGGGAAGGAGGCGAACTCACTTTCTGATAGGCGAGTTCGGCCCTTTCCTGTTAGAAGGGAGCGTTGTCTGTATGGATAGACCTCAT